ACACATCCACTGAACTGTCTGTTGCTAGTCTGTGCTTAGGCCTTTTAAGTCTTTTATGAAAATTGTAAGTGAGATGGATACCTTGGACAAATTGGTGGAAAGATATGAGAAGTGGTGTAAGCGGTAGGTGAGGATGAGAAATAGGTAATGAAAGGAAGAAGGAGGGTAAGGAGGAAAAGACAAGTAGGAAGAAAGATAGGTGGGAGACCAGGTAAGAAAGGTCAGCTGGGGGGAGGGGAATGGCAAGTGTAGGGGGAGGTAAGAGTACAGGGAGCAGGGGGATGAAGCGGGGGTGGAGAAGTAAAGTGAAAGTGAGAGAAAGAGACTAACTGGGATTGGCTAAATATGCCTTCAGATATCTTACTGGCCCCTGATTACACTGGGGAGAGCACCCTGAGCCCTATTGTGAGAGGAAGCAAGCTACAGCAGGAGTGCATATAATGTTCCAACACAACATAAAGATCATTTGATCATGTTTATGACATGCTGAGGGGAGTCTTGTGTTATAAAGATGGGAGTAGGGTGGAGAGAGGGAAAAACAAAGGAATTTCCATGAGAGGACTACAAAGAAGTGCAATGTGAGAGTGTGCATCTAGGCCTGATAGTATGTATGCACTAACAGGCATAAATGGGGTTAAATGCCCATGCATCTCGCTCCATTGCATTGCAATTAAAGAAAAAACTAAAACCCCAGCAAAATGCAATCCTTTGGCGACTGTCTAAATCCATGAGGCCATGTACTACCATACACCTAATGCTGACAATACCAAGCAAAACAGTATTACCCAAGTGCCTGGGAGCAGACTATGTCCATCTACAGCCAAAAAACTGTTGTTGTTCATTGGCTATACTGTTTGCCCATTGTCCATTACATGTCTCTCTCAGTGTGTTGCTATCAGGCAGATAATACAGATTCATGGAGACTAGTACTGCAGGGTTGCATCCACCACAGAGCCAGTCACCATCAGTGAGCATTCATTTAGGGATTTGCTTTTGTGCAGTGGGTTTGTGATCTCAGTCCCAATACCTCTTGGTTCTCAGAAAGGAAGCAGGCAGAGGGAAGTCCAAACACTGGAGCTAGCAAGGATGTCCAAGCAAGTGGCAGGAAACTGGAGTATTGATCGGGTGGACACAATATTTTCAATTTCGGAGAAGAGGGGGGCTTGTTAAGAACCATATTGAGGATACTGGCTTCTGTTATACCTCTTAGCTCTACCGCTCCTTTTTTTTTAGATTGTCTTTCTGAAGATGAACAAGAAGAGCCCATTGGTCCTGTTATGTTTGTGAGTTGTCCAGGCAGGTAAGGCATTGCAAAATGGTCTCTCTGTCTGCCATCACTGATAACATTTTCTCATCAAGGTGGACAACAGATTGTTGCACCACTAGAATGTAATTGTGGATGTCAGCTTCCACCCAAGATGCCAAGAACTCAAAGTCCTGTGTCAATGGTAGAGATAAGATCATATTTGAAAGCTGCATAAGAGAGAGATGAGTTACAGCCATGAGGTTGGAGGAAGCCTCCAGGGAGGCAGATAAAATTGGAGAGGTGTCCGAGTCCATGATGCGGGATACTATCCAGGCTGACCTCCAACGGTGTTGGAGATGATAGAATGTCTCTGAGGTTTAGTTTCTGGGTTGGCACCTGGTCCCTAGAGCTGACTGTTGGTGCCCTGGATCCTGAGCAAACCAAGCGAGTTTTCAGAGGAGGGGATTAAAAATAGAGGTGAAGACCTGAGTGCCCTTGCATCCTGCTCTATTTAGAATCTTTGCTCCTCTTTGGCATTAGGGTAAAGTCATATTATTCCAACTCTACTTGTCAGTATAGACAATACCAGTGCACAACTCATTGCAGAAGCATATCTGCCATAGCTGGATAACACCTTTTTTTTCAATCTACTTTTTAGCATCTACAGCATGTGTAAAAATAAAGCTTTGTCACACTAAACATGGATACATATTGTTTAACATCTCTCAAAAAGATACTACTCTTCCCCAACATACTTTTAAAATATTGTCAACTATTTATTTGTTGGCCAGGATACCCCACAACCTCCATAACCTTCCCAAGCATTTGTATATATCACATCCAAATTCCTCTTACTAATTAAGGCATCTTCTGCCTAATACACTTACAGTATACAAGCATATGATGTCAGTGCTGAACCATACTCCACAGAAACCTTTGTTTCCATACATTACACTGATGATGACCAACAAGCCTGAACATCTGTATGCAGTTTGGAATAAATGGATCTAAATTATTAGGCTGCATCTGTGCTATAAACCAGCGGCTCTGGATGTGCAGTTAACCAAGCGGCATAACGGAAGGATTCCCATGGTTCCACCACTGCCCTAAAATGAGAAATAATCCCTTTATTTTTAAAATTTGTGATGGAATCAGATATCAGATAGATACCGTTTGTGGAGATGACCACCTAGGGAGCCACTGAGTTTAACATGCTCTAATAGCTTTTCTAGCGGTGCACTGGCTCACTGCTTCTCCGATTTATTTACCAACCCACCAGCAGTGACTAAAGGACACCCACTACGCCAATCTTTGCTTGTAGGTTTCATTGGCTCAAAGTCTGGGGGAAAGAGGGGCTTAGGGGGTTACAGGAGTTACAGGATACCCAAAGAGCGATAGAAAATCCATCTACTGAAATAGATAAATAACTTAAGCTCTTCTCACATCCAAGAGCGTGCATTTACGCTTAGACCAGCAATTCTTCAATGTGTACCTTTAAGCTGAGAGCAGACATTTTTCAATATGTGCCTTTAACCTGAGACCAGCAATTCTTCACAATGTGCCTTTAAGCTGAGACCAGCAATTCTTCAATGTGTGGCTTTAAGCTGGTTTCAAGCCACACATCAAGCCACCAATAGACCAAGCAAGCTTTCTGAAGGTGTTCCTCTTTTCTAGCCACCTTCCTATTTTCCAGGCATAGGCCATTCCCAATGCTTGGGACCTAGCACTGGCACAGGTTTCTCCCCAGGCAGAAGGTCGGGGAGGTAAAAGGCCTCTGTATTCTTTTCACCCTTCAGGCCTAAGAGGAAAAAAGACTCCTAATTGTGGACATCCTCTCAGGGCAAAGCCTGGGAGGCAAAGACCCTTCTAGAAGTGCTCCACAAATGTCTATCCCCTTCCCCAGCTCACATCACTGGCTAAACCTCCTAGTAATAGTCCAGGATGAAATAAATATTCAAAACTCATAACATTGTTTCTTCTTGCTTTATCTTCTGGAGAACACTCCCCTGCAACAGGCAGCAGCAAACTGTTCTGAGCTTAGGGAACACCCAACAAATGCAGAAAACAATACAAATCAAAGCTTAGGCTGGCTACAGCCTAGCTGCCACTAAATTTAAACGAGTGGCATAGCAACTTTGGAACAGTGTACATATCACCACTGGCAGTACAGAAAACAAAGGGCTTGAAGTTTTCCTTTTCAAGGACACACATTGTCACCACTGGCAAACAGGAACAAAAAGGCCAGCAGTCTTTCCATCACCGGATCACATCCAGTTACTACAGGCATACACAAGGTCAGTAGTCTTCTCAAGCACAAAGACAATGACACTATTGGCACAACATGCAAAGGGCCAGCAGTCTTAGTCTTCTTTCTAAGCATCCATGTTCAATTACATAAGAAGGGTTTCTCCAACAGGGAAAAGTTCTTGGCAGTCTACCAATAATAGCAGGGTGACAGGCTTCCTCTTCTCATCTGTTGAACTCAAAGTTACCCTTTCTGGGCCTTCTAATTGTAACTGTTCATAAAAAATGTGCCTCCTATTGCCTCAGGAGGTTAAACAGCTTTAAAAGGTGTGTTCTGTCCCCCATTTGGTCCTCAGTATCGCACGGTGGGTGTATGCAACTGCATCAGATGCAGATCAGCACACTTTCAATGGCTGATCTCCCCTCCGCCTTCTGAACCCAGAAGCAACAGTGATTTTGTCACTTCCGCTTTCAGCCTGTCATTTCTCTGACTGCTGTGGCTGGAGTAGAAGCTGGTGAGGCAGATCTGTGCTTCATCAGCTTCATAGGGATCCATAGTTGACATTAGGGGTCTGATAGACCCATGATATCTCCATAAAGAGGACTTATCACTTCATGTGTATTATCACATAGGGGACTTGTTGGCCCCTTATGTGATAGCAACAAAGTTAAGGGTAAAAAAAAAATATTACAGTGAAAAATATTACATGCACATACCAATGCGAACGTGTAGGTTGTGTCTATGTGCAAAAATGACAATGGCACCACTCATGTCATATTGAGGCAAATTTTGGAGTGAGAGCTATCATTTTAGTGCCATCACCCCCTGTTAACTCTAAATTGATGAGCAATAAATGCTTTTAAATCATTGCGAATGGGCAATTTTGACTACCATAGTTTTATTTCACGGGCTCATGCAATTTTAAGGCAAAAAAAAAAAGACATGTGCAAATAGCTACCTGCATAGCATATTCAATACTGAATTATTCGTCTTTAATTAATTTTGTAAATGCAAATCATGTCCCATAAGCGTAAGTCACTCATGAGCCCGCAGCAGGGGTACTTGACCTCCAGCTGATGTGAAACTACATCTCCCATGATGCATTGCAAGGCTCTGCTAGCCTAAAGTATGACTCTCAGAGGCAGGGGCATGTTGGGATTTGTGGTTTCAGCACAGTTGACGTGACAAGGTCGCCAACCCTTTCTCTATGTTTATAAGTGTCATGCCTGCGGCACATTTTTTTTCATAAGCAAGAGCACTGAAGACTCTGTATGACGTTTCAGATTAACTGTGGAGCTTTTTCCCCATTTCGCAGTGGCGGCTTACTTGTCACACGTAGAAATGCAGTACTAATCTATAACCAGCAGAGGGAGCCGGCGCACCTTTCCTTTGCCTGACGTCATTACACTGCGCCCAAGTCTCTGCGTGCCCTCTGAGTACAGCTGAAGGAACGGGGTTGTCATTTGTGAGGGTAGTGGACGTGGTGTGGGGGGCCGAGGTCATACAGTCATGGCTTTGACTCCTCAAGACGAACAGCTACGACTGCAGCAGCTGAGGGATCTGAGGAGAAAATGGCTGAAAGATCAGGAGCTAAGTCCTCGGGAGCCCGTCCTGCCCCCCAAGAAACAGGGTCCAGTGGCGAGATTCTGGGACAACTTCCTGCGGGAGAAGAGCCTCTGGAGGACCTATGTATGTGACTAGCAGTGGTATCTGAAAGGGTTCAGGAATCTGATTTGTTTACCTTATACATTACCCTTACATGTCATTCTGTGAAATATCATACTAGCCAAATATCTGTTTTTACAGACAACCATTATCATAATTATCTTCACAATAGAATTCATATTTTTAAGGTTATATGCAAATGTTTTACAGTAAACTCCCAGTTATCCAGCACCCACGGGGATCGGTAGGCGCTGGATAACTAGTTTCTGGTTGCCCAAAAGTTAATAATAACTCCCAAGCAACTCCCCATGCGGTGCCCCATTAATTTACGGCTAGATTCTGCTGCCGGCAGGTGGCTGGAAATAGCGGGCAGTGGTCAGGAGCAATAACCAGACTGCTATTGGCTATTTTAAATTGCAATAGGCAATAGCAGGCTCGCTATTGTACCCACCCACTGAGGAGAGGAGCGGATATGAGAGAGAAAGTTCTCTCTCATACCCAAAGTCGAAAATCCTCTCTCAGTCCCAAAGTCAAAAATGAAATCTATTGCTGTGCATGTTAGCTTAAAGTAAAGCTAAATCAAAAATGTTTTATTTTTTTATTATGGGTGAAGTAAAGATTTTTTTTATCAGCTTTTTCCCTCAAGGGAGATTTCCTTACTCCCTCTCCTACAATAGAAACAGGAGTGAAAAGAAGTCTTTCCAAAGTGAAGGATAATACTCCTCTAAGAGAGTTGACAAATGTCCCCATTGGAAGATTTCCCCTCTATTCCTTTTCCAATGTCAACTCAAAATGTTAGCTTTCCTGTTACCTTCTGTGCTGGTGACAATAGTCATGAGTACAGATAGAGTGAATCTTCAGAGTTGAGTCACTGACCACAATAAAAGCAATGGAGCTGCATGCGGTGGTGTGGGCAGCATTAAAGTGACACTAAACTCAGGAGTTAAATCTCATAAATACATTCAAATACTTTAACTATTAACAAAAATGTATCTTATTTGTGCATCACTCAACTGTAGATCCTCCAATCATCTCTGAATTGGTGCTGACACTGTCCTTTCTTCTGGAGGGTGCCTACTTTTGTTCCCCAAGGTCCCTGTGTGTATTGTAAAGTAGTCACCCCTCCAAGCTTGCTCCTGTGATGGATTACAGTCTCATGTTTCGTTTACTAATTTGTATTGAGATTGTAGTCCTTCACTGGAACAAGCTAAATAGTGTTAAATGTTAATGTCCTTAAATATACACTCAGTGGCTACTTTGTTAGGTACGCCTGTTCAACTGTTCATTAATGCAAATATCTAATCGGCCAATCACATGGCAGTAACTCAATACATTTAGACATGTAGACATGATCAAGATGGTCTGCTGAAGATCAAACCGAGCATTAGAATGGGGAAGAAAGGGGATTTAAGTGACTTTGAACATGGCATGGTTGTTGGTGCCAGATGGGCTGGTCTGAGTATTTCAGAAACTGCTGATCTACTGGGATTTTCATACACAACCATCTCTCGAGTTTACAGAGAATGGCCTGAAAAAGAAGGAAAATCTAGTGAGCGGCAGCTCTCTGGGAGAAAATACCTTGCTGATGCCAGAGGTCAGAGGAGAATGGGCAGACTGGTTCCAGCTGATAGAAAGACAATAGTAACTCGAATAACTGCAACCGAGGTATGCAGAATACCATCTCTGAACACACAGCACATTGAATCTTGAAGCAGATGGGCTACAGCCACAGAAGACCACACAGAGTGCCACTCCTGTCAGCTAAGTACCGGAAACAGGGGCTACAATTCGCACAGGCTCAAAATTGGACAATAGGAGATTGGAAAAATGTTGTCTGGTCTGATGAGTCTCGATTTCTGCTGCAACATTCAGAAGGTCGGGTCAGAATAAAGAACATGAAAGCATGGATCCATTCTGCCATGTATGAATGGTTCAAGCTGCTGGTGGTTATGTATGATGTGGGGGATATTTTCTTGGAACACATTGGGCCCCTTGGTACCAATTGGGGCATCATTTAAATTCCACGGCCTACCTGAGTATTGTTGCTGACCATGTTCATCCCTTCATGAGTACAGTGTACCCATCTTCTGATGGCTACTTCCAGCAGGATAACACACCATGTCACATCACAAAGCTCACATCACCTCAAACTGGTTTCTTGAACCAATGAGCTCTCTGTACTCCAATGGCCTCCACAGTCACCAGGTCTCAATCCAATAGAGCACCTTTGGGGTGGAACGGGAAATTCACATCATGGATATCCAGCTGACAAATCTGCAGCAACCATCTGCAGCTATCATATCAAAATGGCCCACACTATCCCTTCCCAATCCTGCTGTAGGGACTTGCCTTAAATGATGCCTCTTAATCCGATCATCTTCTTCTTTCCTGTCCTTTTCAGCTGTCCCTGCAGCGCTGATGCGGGTCTCAGATCCAGCGCTGACTCCTCTGTCCTCCTCTGATGTCCCACGGAGTCAGCGGGTGCACGCTGCTTCATAGACTTACCTTGTGTCTCTCCTCGTTTCCCGGCCGAACATCTGAACTGCGCATGCGCCCGCCCCAAGATCCTTTGCGACCACCTGAGAAATTTTCAGATGTTCGGACGGGAGTGTGCGGCTGAGACACAGGTAAGTATTAACCCTTTTTAAAAGGTTTTTATTTTTTTTAATGTTCTTGGATATATCTACTGCTAGCTACCAGTAGCTATATGCAAAAACATGTGAGGGTTTAATAACCCTTTAAGACAGATTTGAGGGCAAAAGGAGGCCCAACCCGGTACTAGCATATGGTGTACCTAATAAAGTGGCCAGTGAGTGTGTTTTTAAGATTTCACCCCTATGTTTAGTGTCACGTTAAAGGATTTTTTGTTTGCTTCATTTCAGATAGCTACTTTACTTGGAATATATATCTAAACTCACAAACAAGAAAAATGATATACTGCGGTTTACAAGTCCTTAGATATATTCGCTGCATTTGTTTTATTTTAGGCTTTTCTTCCTTTATTTTCACCTTGTGATCTTTTGAATGCCATAGAAAATTTTAGAAAAACAAAAAAACACTAGGGATTCACCGATAAGAGTATTTGGGCAGGTACTCATACTCGCCTAAATGCTCTGATACTTACCCCGATACAGGGACTTCCGGTCAGAGGAAGATTTCCTCTGACCGGCAGTGCCATGAGGGAACATGGAGCTTGCTTCATGCTGTTTGGCCGGCTCGATGCTGACTGACCGGGAAGCCTGCTTCCCAGCCAATCAGCATTGGGGTGGCCAAACAGCTCCATGCTAGCGGAAGTACCGATATCTGTATTGGCGAGTGCTGAAAGTATCCGTGCATCCCTAAAAAGACTAAGGTCCACCAAGGCAACCCTTACCCTTTCTGTCTAGGTATCGCGCTATGTTTGTCCCAAGCATGTTTACATTCACTTAATGTTGACTGACTCACTACACATGCTGGAAGTCTGCTCCAAGCATCAACTGCTCTTTTGGTAAAATTACCCTTTCTAAGGTTAGTTCTGAACTTTCCTTCTGCTAGTTTGAGGTCATGCTCTTGATCTGTTTCTTATGTTGCCCACCTGAGAATTATTCACACTCTTGATGTATTTCAGTCATTTCCCCCTTTTCCTTCTTTCCTCCAGGCTGTATACATTAGGTTCCTGCACTCTCTCCATGTTTTATCCCTCTGAACTTTCACCATTTTGTTCCCCATTTCTGGACTCCTATCATATCAATATCTCTTTGTAGGTGAGGTCACAGGGTGCAGTATTTAAAGAAGAGCTCCAGGCACCACTTTTATTAACAATTGCAGTGGGGCTACCCCCACACTGCAAGGGTTAACTGCTTGCATTTGTCTAGGTAAAAAAAAAAAAAAGTTATACTCCTCTGAACCGTGGAGCTGGCTTTCTCTTAGGCCCCGTTCACACCTTTCCGTTTTGTCGGGCGTTCAACGCTCTATGAACGCTCTACAAAACGTACAACCATGAAAATCCCATTGTTTTCTATGGGTATGGTTCACACCTTTCCATATTTCCGCCCGTCTGAACACCCTCAAACGGCTGACGCCCAAACAAGTACATGTACTTCTTTGGGCCGTTTTGGAGGGCGTTTTCGATTGGGATACAGCCAAGTAGCCTTCGGAATCGCGCGACGGTCGCGCGATTTTTTTTACCGCGAATCGCGGTAAAAAAAACCGCGTGACGGTCGCGCGACAGACGTGCATGCGTAATACGCCTAGGTGTGAACCCAGCCTAAGACCGGTCCCTTGAGCCTCTCTCCCTCTCTGATCCAGTGGTCTAAGGTCCAGTAAATCATCAAGTCTATACCCTGTGTATAGATGCGGGGTAGCTGAGGAACATTCCAATGCTGCATCGGAGGAGGAGACAGGCAGGAGGGAGCGCCGTGACACCTGGTTGTCTCGTAGCTTCCGGTGAGTATAACTTTGTTATTTTAGAACCTAGATACAAATGAGCAGTTTACCCTTGCAATGCAGGGGTTGCCCCCACTGCAAGGGTTAATAAAAAAAAAAACCAAAGATCTATAGAGGAACCAGGACCTTCCTCCTGCTGATGAGTCCCCTTGTGATCCACCCTACAACTCTGTTAGCTTCTCCCACTGCCAGACCACACTATTTACTTATTTTGCAATCATTTAAAATAACTCCTCCCCGACAAGTCTTTTTCCAGTGTAGTTCTGGCCAGAACTCTACCCCCCAATACTGACCTCTATCTGAAGATTCTTTTCCGCAAATAATTTTTTTTTCTTTGCATTTAGAGACTTTGGAGCACAGTTTAGTTTACCTTCCAGCAGTGTCATGTTCCATGTGACAAATACCCCCAGGAATATCAATCCTATTGCACACCTATGTGTCATCAGCAGAAAGACATACCTTGCCCACTAAAAGTTATAACACACTTCCTGTCCTAGGGTGGCTACACTCACTGACTGTACTGTCTATTGAGGGAGCTATGGTTGTCGCCCTATGACAGGATTGCAAACACATCTTCATCTCATCATCTCCATCACATGGGAGGTGAGGGA